GGTGAAAATAAAAGAGAGTAAAGATGAGAACTTGTCAGAGCTTTGCTCGGAGACGGCTTACTTGTTCTTTTCTTTCGACCTTCTTTTCACCTGACTCTGGAGCTGGACTCTCGGGAGGTACAGTCAGCCGCAGTCTGCAGACATTTGCCTAGGAGAGACGGAGAGGAGAAGCCAGTTACAAACCCGTGCCAGAGGTACAAAGAGCTGGGTGACCTTGTGCTTCTCAGTGCCGTCTCCCCCCTTTAGCAATGAGGTGATCGTACCAACCGCAGAGGGGACTCTGAGGATAAGACCAACGTTTGCCTGGCCCAGATCAGGCAACTCACCACCCTGCTGCTCAAAACGAGGACATTACCGAGTAATGTCATAGCATTCAAACAAACAGAAACCCAAGATGACAGATATCCTTATAAAAGGGGGAATTTGCAGACAGACACACATACAGGGAGAACAGCATGTGAACATGCTAAAGAGAGAAGCCTGGAACAGATCACTCCCACACAACCCTTGGAAGGAACTAACCCTGTTGATACCTTGATTTTGGCTCGAGTTCTGTAACAGTATGTATAGAATGATCGTATCTCACCTGCACTGGTCAAAATACAGCCAGAGGGACAAAAGCCAAAATATACACAGTGGTGACTGGACTGTGAAGGTGCTTTCTCCTTGGCTATATATTGAATTTTTCTCTAACAGACATGCATATACAGAAGCACAAAGTTATTTAAAAGTCTATACACTCATGTTCGTAGCAGCACTATGCACAATGACTGAAAGCGACACAAATGTCCATCGGTGGATGAATGGATACATAAAATGTGGTATATACACAGAACAGAATATCACACGGCCTTAAAAAGGAAGGAAATTCTGACACATGGTGCAACATGGATGAACCTTGAGGGCATTATGCTAAGTGAAGGAAGCCAATCATGCAAAGACATGGGTATGACACAATGACAGCTCTCTCAGCTGTATGACTCCACTTATACAAGGTATATAGAATAGTCAAAATTCCTAGGGACAGACAGCAGATCAGTGATTGCCAGTGGCTGAGGACACAGAGAAGTGGGGAGTTATTCCTTAACAGGTATGGAGTTTCAGTTTGAGAAGATGATAACATCCTGGAGATGGATGGTGGTGATGTTTACACAACAATGGGAATATGCTTAATGCCATATGTCTATTTCACCCCAATGTCACAGCCAGGACCTGCTGTGATTTCCCAGGGAGAAGTGATCTGGCCACTGGAAAAGCCCAAAGAGGGTCCCAGCAGCACCCAGAGTACCCAGCCCCATGGGCTTGTCCCTGTTATAGGCTGCATTGTGTCCCCCTAACATTTGTATATTGGAGTCTTAACCCCAGAACTTTAGAATGTGACCTTATTTGGAAACAGGGTCTTTACAGAGGTTATTAAGTTAAACTGAGGTCATCAGGGTGAGCCCTAATCCAAAATGACTGATATCCTTGGGGTGCCTGGGTGGCTCAGTCAGTTGATCATCTGACTCTAGATTTTGGCTCAGGTCATGACCTCACAGTTGGTGGGTTTGAGCCCTTCATCAGGCTCTGCACCAGTAGTTCAGAACCTGCTTGGGATTCTCTCTCTACCCCTCTCTCTGCCCCTCTCCTACTCACTCACACACGCACACTCTCTTTCTCTAATTAAAAAAAAAAAAACTTTATAAAAACAAACAGAAACCGAAAATGACAGATATCCTTATAAAAAGGGGAACTTGCAGACAGACATATATATAGGGAGAAGAGCATGTGAACATGCTAAAGAGAGAAGCCTGGAACAGATCACTCCCACACAGCCCTTGGAAGGAACTAACCCTGTCAATACCTTGATTTTGGACTTGTAGCTCCCAACCAGAGGATAATAAATGTCTGTTGTTTAAGCCACCTGGTTTGTAGTGCTTTTTACAGCAGCCCTAGCAAATTAATATACCCCCGACCTGGTCTGCACCCATCCACAGGGTGGTTGCTGAGCAAACCACCCTGCAGCCCACAAACCCAGAATGGGATGGGATTGTAAAAGACCTTTTAATTCCAAACTGCCGACCTACAGAGGAACCCCCACCCACCCACCAATGTACCTGCCAGGTGGGAGACTGAGGATAACATTTTCCATGCACAGGTAAAAGAGCCCATGTGGGATATATGTTAGCACTTCCACACACATGGTCACCTACCTTCGAGATACCCCATTTTGCTACCCAGCACCTCCAGCTTCCTGTTCCCTCAGAACTCCTCCCTAATGGACCTGGGGTTGCCCTCAGGGCAGGAATAGAATTCCCCTTTCTCTACACAGGGCCTCCTTCCCTATGAACCTCTTTTCCTCTGGATCTAAAAACCCCAGCTCTTTCAACTCAGTGACTTGGTTTCACAATCACTCTCCATCTTTACATTCCTATGGGCAAGCTTCATCCCCTCATGGCCCCAGGACTACATGCCTCCAATGTGGCCAACTTTGCACCAAACCTTCAGAGCTCACCATCAGTCATGTTGGCCAAAGACAAACCACCCATTCCAGCTAGGGGGCAGCTCTCCCAGCTGACAGGCAGTAGCACCGATGGGAATCCGAGTTCTGCCAGAGAAAGGCAAACCTCTGACTCCAGGCTGCCTGGACCGGTTGAAACCGGCCGGCATTTGCACAAACATCAAAGTGTAACTCACACCAGGTAGGCAATCCAAGTCTATGATGTTCAATAATCTTCTGTGATAGGCTGCTCTAATCCATAGCATAATTTTGCAGAGAAAAGTGCTTTTCTCCTGCACCCCATCCGATGCACACACATGTATACACACAGGTGTGTAAACACATATACAGACTTGCACAAGTGCACACACGCACACACATACATGTGTCAACACCTACTAGCTGTTGTTGCTCCCACAGCAGCAGGCTCAGCCCTGTATTTTCAGCATTGAGGAAAACTGAATCTTACTTAGTGGAACACCACAGTTATGGGATTAGCTGTCCCTACAGGCAAGGGAATCTTCCAGTGGACCAAAAGCAGGAAGGTGGTAGATTCAGTATATTTCATTACTAGGTTACAGAGCAGCCACTAACTGTAAAATATTTTTAAGGGCAATGAGGGTACCAAGATAAAAAAGAAACAGCCATGTTCCCAAGAGCTCAGAATCCAAAAACATACCCAAACAAAGCAAATAAGAACACTCAGTGTAACCAACACAAAGTCCTGAGAGTCAGGGTACCTTGGTGGTTAAGGCATGGTAGAACTGCATTCCTTATATAGCAGTAAGAATATAAGAAGAACAATAGTCTTAACTGGACACGGGGGTATACTGAAGGCTCCTAGAGGTGACATTTGAGCTAGGTATAGAAAGATAATAAGACTTTGCAGTCCATTGAGGTCTGGAGAATCCATCATCAGAATAACAGCAAACAACTACCAGGCAAGGAATTTGCTCCAGGCTGGCCAAAGGCACAGATGTGCGAATGTTCTGAGACTCCAAGTGGGCCTGCAGACTACACTAGAGTGAAGAGGAAAACAAACAGGCAGGGGCCAAACTCTAACAAGCTACAAATGCCTGATGGAGAAGCAAGGTCTCTAGTGGAAGACAATCAGGAGCCATTCAACAATCAAAGCCATTCCCTTTGAAGGAAGGGACTAACACTAAAATCTGAGTTCAAGGACTCAAAAAATTGAGTACTTCCCATTATATTCCATGTATTACAACATGAACAGAAAGGAAAGAATAGGGGGAGAGATCAAGCAAGCTTTGTGCTTTGTTTTTGCTATTCTTACAGTGCTTAGCATAGTATCAACACATAATGGGCACTTGCTCAGTAAATTAAATGTCAGTATGAGTTTCTTTTTAAGATGAATTAAAACACAGCCTGAAACTCCCCAGAGAGCCTTCCACTTTCTTCAAGCCAGCCCCTCTGGTAGGGACAACAGGGAGGAGCAGCTAGTATTCAAGCCTCCTCCACATGAAAATTCACAACAAAGCCCTTGTCTGCAACTCAGGGCACCTGGGAGCTCCCCCAAGTCCTCTGGGGCTTTGTTTCTGACCTACCCACCCCTCTTTGTGGAGGCAGAAGGCTGGGTCTCCATCTATGGGGGAATCTAGAGATCCACATACCATCATGCTCTCAGCCTCAGCACCTGGGCTTACCAAAGAGAAAACTATCCTCTCGAATAAAAAGGGATGGAGAAGATGACCCAGGGATGGGGTGGGGGTGGATGGTGTTGCTAATCAGTTTACAAAGATTTCCCTAAGGAAATTAGCCAAATGTATTTACATTTCTCTAAGGCCTGGTCCACTTTGTGACTGTGGGTTCCTGCCCAGTTCCACCTAACAAGAGCAGGTGTGGTCCCTGTGGTTGTGGCTGGAAGGACACACACCACACTCTGCTCAGCACAAGCATAAAATCTTTGGAGTATGTGGGTCAGGCTGTGTGAGACACGGCATGCCCCACCTGGAGTAGGCCTCTTAGCTCTGCTGTGGCCCTGAACTTGCAGGCCTGATGATCTACATCAGGGTTTGCAGGGCAAACCTTTTCTGCAGAGGGCCAAATAGTAAGTATTTAGGTTTTGCAGACCACCATAAAAAACATTCATATCTCAGAGGCAAACAAAACAAGCCAAGAGGGCCAAATATGGCCCGGGGGACAGTAGCTTATCTGCATACAGGGACACTTTTTGTAGGTGGTATAAAGTGCTCTAGAGCCCCTCTTTCCTGTGTCAGGACTGACACCAGACAAAATTCATAAAGACAAGGACAGTGAGCGCCCCTCCTTCCTGCCCTCAATGGCTCCCTTCTGGACAAGCACACAATGTGCCCACGAATGCCATAATACAGACAGGAAATGCAGGTAAGTGAATGCACACAAATAGCAGTGCGACCTGGGGTGTTAGGACTTCCTGCTCTGCCCCCACCCCCCCCACCTTGCTCCTTCCAAACTTGAAGGAAGCTTCCAGAACACTGTCTCAGGAGGGTATTTCCAAGAAAGCTATAAGGAGACAGTGATAATTCAAGAGATAGTTCCCATTCTTGGCTGCACGTTAGAATCACCTGAGGAGCTTCCTGAAAAATACTGGTGTTATTCTTTACTTTCAGACGTTCTCATTTAAACAGTCTGGCTTAAATGAGTCTGAGGCTTAGATATTTTAAGCTTCTCAGTGATTCTACATATAACTAGGGTGAACCAGTGACTTAACCAATGGAATGAAACTCCAACTTGTTCAACAGGATGAGGAGACTGGAATATTTGGAGGCTTTCCCAGAACCGTCAAACTCTTCACCTGGGCCAGCACTCACATCCATCTGTCACCTGCTTCCTGCCCAGGTGAGCCAGAGGTGATGGCCTGGCTTTAGCCCAAGCTTCCCTTCCTGGTTTCCTGTTTGCCAATTGAGTGTGAAGTGTGGCTTCTTTAGGACCCTGATGACACACACCTCTTTTTACATACCAATTACACCAGGCCTGGGGAGGCAGGGTCCCTAACCCCTCTTCTCAAGTAGTTAATCACAGCCAGTGGATGCAAGCAATGACGGGGTGCACAGGCTACTAGGGGAACACGGAAAAGGAGAGTTCAGATAGGCTTCCTGGAAGCTGCCCCTTCATCAGAGAGGCATGAAAGAGGCAAGGAACAGCATGAAAGGTTTGGGAATGGCAAGAAATTTGGAATATTTGGAACAAGTGTGGGACGGGAACAAGGAAGCCTAAGGCCAGATCAGAAAGGCCTGAATGCTAAAGTAAGGAATTTGTAGCCGCTGCTGGCAGGACAAAGGGGGCTCCTGAGGCAGAGTCACTGGGCTCTGTATTTTGCATTTAGAAAGAGCACTGTGGCCTTAAAGTGTAAGTAAGAGTCAGCAGCGTGACTGAAATTTAGCACCATCCCTCACCTCAAGCGGGGCAGAGGGAAATACCCCCGTGTGACTCTTCCGTGTGCTTGGAGAAGACTGCAACTGTTCCAGGCTGGGAGAGCTCACTGCGGGAAGCCCTAAGGCCATGACGCAAGTAATTGCTTCAAGTATTTCAGATGGAACCTTTTCAACATGGTCTCTGGTTAGTTAGCCCTGGACCCACAGCTCCTTGAGCTCGATTAGACGATTTTTAAGGCTGACTGACTTGAAAGGCTTTTCCAAGAGATCAGAAGCCGAGCATCTGGGTTTCTTGTGTGCACACTCAGTGCAGACGAACCATGACACAGACCACATATGCAGCCCTCCCACGGGGCACTGGAGACAAGGAACCAGCCAGCATCCCACTCCATACCCTCTGCCGGACAACCAAGGGATCGCTATCTTGAGTTTCCTTAAGAGTCTCCAAGACTCAGGTCTGTTAGTCCTACCTCTGACACAGGAAGATGGGTGAACCAAAGCACAGATGTCATACTTTAGCGGGAGAGGCTTTTGGGCTAAGCCCTGACGATGCCAGGGTTCCAAAACTTTGCAACTTGGTCTGTCAGGGGCTGGTTCCAGGAGGCCCTGGTGGGGAGCCAGCCTGCTTCCTGGGTGCAATGGGCCCCCTACCCACCCATCCCTGGTGGGTACTGCAGCTAGCTAACTTCTCCCAGTCACCCGATGCCATGTCCTTTCCTACAGAGCCCACAGATACAGAAGTTATGCACACAGATGTTTCTGTGAAAAGGAAGTGAGGTAAACACCCGTCTGACCCGTTCAGTGGCCACCTAAGGAAAATTCTTTTGAGCCAGTCAGACAGAAATGGGACCTAGGAGAGTGTGCATTAGTGAAGGAGGGATAACTGGCAGGCCAGCTGGGTTTTGACAGAAAAAGCCCTTGCCAAATAGAAAGAACTATCAGCAAGAGCAGGCTACGAGACAGTCATATCCTTGTGGCCTTTTTGGGTTTGCCTCTGTTTTGTTTTTCTTTTTACGAGCCACCCAGGGGCCATGATACCGGCAACACCAGCCAAGAGTCTCTTATTATCAAGACAGTGTGATGCTGGAGGAAACTCTTGACAGATGCATGCCTCTCATCGCCCCGGCTCAACAGCTGAACGAAAAGTATTTGGCTGCACAAAGCAACACGTGCCTTCCCCCCGCAAAGAGCACAGCCTGGCCACACAACTGACCTTTCATGTCAAAGGCTCATTTAGTGGGATTAACTTCATTTACAAAATTCCCTTCAAAATCATGAAGCAATGTCCATAGTTTTTTTTAATGTTTCCCCCCATTCTCTAAGGTCATCCTTCCATCCATGGTTCTTCTCCAGCCAATCTATCTTCCTGTTGTTGCCACGGATAAAACTATTTTTAGCGCGCAACTGAAGGTAGGGTTGTTGTTTTTTTAATTTCACAACCCGTAAATGGGTTGGCATCCGTAAATGCCACTCAGAGCTTTGCTTATCAGCTGACAGAAATTACTCTCCCACCGGTTTTTTTTCCCCCCTTTGAGAGATGATTTCAGATAAAAAGGAAGTACAAATTGTAGGTGGCAGCCATTGAACAAGGGATAATTGGTGACAGTCTGGTCTGGCTGCACCTCCCTGGCTGGCTGACTCAGAAAACTCCCTGTTCAGTGTCAGCTGTCACCACCATTGCTAGTTTACTTGAATATCTGGACCAACATAGCCTGGTTCCTCTGCAGTCCCTAATTTGGTAAGCTCTTTGGAGAAAACAGAAATGCTATTTTGATGGCTAGCATGTTCTTGTTTAAGACCATCACTTGTCCAATAACAGCCAAGAGGAAAGACGGGAGGATACAGAGTTTATTGACAGACTTTCAACTTCAGGAACAATTGCCATATTACTTAGTCTACAATTTTAATTTCAAGACATCCCATTCTTATCTTTCCAAGAAATAAACGTTTTTGCCCTAAAGAAAATGCAATGTGCCTTTATGATACAATATATACCAAGAGCTTCATTTAAATGAGTGATATTTCCTCCTTTCAGTATCCCATTGTCAATCACCCCACGAACTCCTATGCACCCTTCAAGACTGAACTCCAGTATCTCCTGAAAAGGGAGGTCTTCCTCAGATGCTTTGGGAAGAACCCTTCCTGTTAGCTTCACCCGACTTTGTTCACAATGGACCCCACTATAACAACCACTTTGTACGATGGTAGTCTGTGACAATGACTGCCTCCATGGGTAGAGTAGGCCCCGACACCTAGCCCTGTATCATCCAGAAGAAAATCTCCAAGTGTTGTTTAAAAAAATCAAGCAACAGATCGTATCTTCTCACCATGCCCCCCATACACATAGACAGGACCCGTGGCATTTGCAAATCATGAGCAGAGTTGGAAATCATGAAGGGAATCCTAGAACCTGTAAAAATCTTCTTTCCTGAACAAGTGCACCAGTACTCATGCACTCAGAACAGCCCTCCATGGTGATTCAGCTCCCTGACCCCTCTGGTCCTAGGTACTTTGGTTGTCTTATTCAAAAGGCAAAGCCTTTCCAATAGTCTGTCCACTGTGCTTCTTACAATGAAATACTTGAAAGTGAACATTTGAGAAAAACAATCTTCAGAAGGGCTACCTAGTACACTAATCACATCTGCAGTCACCCACTCTAGCCACCCATCTCTGGAGGAGGACTGGACTATTTCATGCATTCTGGTCCCCCCCCCCCCCCCCGTGCCTCTATCTAGGCCCAGGGCTGGTTTTTCAGTGACTTCATTCTTTCTCAATCACAATTGTGTTCCAACTGAGCAAGATTTCCATAGAAAAAAAGGCAAATGCCTGTCTTGCAGTAAGGCTGGAACTGTGATTGGAAACCCACTTGGACCCAATGGGGATCTTGCTTTACAAAGCTAATAACTGAGAAGCCAGAGTTCGGTCAACCCTGGGTGTGGTGTATACACATACACACATACACACAAGCGCATGTGCACACATCTGCCCCCTCAGAATCCATCACCTGGCCCACACCCAAGAGTAACACAGGTCTTCCTTCTAGAGCTAAAGGAAGGCAGTACATAAGGGGACTGCTAGTCACCTGGTTGAGGTATGGAAACGTAAACAGGTAGGTCTATGAGACTAGAAGATGGGAGTGCCGAAGGGGGTCCTGGCTTGGACTTAAGCATCTGTTTAGCTAAAACTTGGAGAACATGATAAGAGAAATCTCAACCACTGAAAAGAAGCACTGATTGATAAATATGAATATTATGAAGAAGGGATGAACTAAAAAGCCACCGCCCAAGGCCCTGGCAGTGCGCTCTGAGGCACTGATCTTGGAAGAGATACAGAATGGGAAAGATACAACAGCACGTGCCTAGCATCTTTCACAAAGCATCTGGGGAGGTGAGGAAAGATGCAATATTTAAATCAGAATGAACAAAGTGGTTTGCATAAACCCAAGTCCCACACCACTGAGCTCCCAGGTGTCCAGCTGCTGATCTCTACCTTGTCAGGTGAAGCCTACCTTGGGTAAACTCACTCCAGAATCGGTGTTATTCTATCACCAGCGGGGACCAGTGATCTTTGCTTTTAATCGCTGAAAGGAGGCAATTTTGGGTGTTAAAGATATTCATTACCTGTGAGTCTCAAGTAGGCACACCACAGAAATTGTTTCCCTTGCTTTTTAAACTCGTGCCGCCAATAAACGTGGCCTGACAGAGAAGGCAGGAAGGAGAGGAAATTTCTGGGAATTCCACAAAGTTCCCTAAGCCCTACGAGCCGTTGGCTGGGCATCCAGAGAAGGGTCACGGCCGGAGCTGGGACAGAACGGGAGAGCTGAGTCCAGGGTAGGGCGTCGGGGTCGGGGTCCCGCTCCCGCGCGTCCCCAACGCCAGACCCCGCTACAGCCGGACTGCCGGGTCGGGGAAGCGGGACGGCGGCGGCTCCCGCCCCCAGCTACTCACCCTCCTGCTGGGCGCCCCGGCGCCGCCGCCCGAGAGCAGGGTGACGGTGGACGTGGAGCGCAGCATCCCGCAGCGGCGGCCGGCGGCTAGCCCGCAGCTGCGCTCCTCCGGGCGGAATAAGCACGCCGAGCCCGCCCTGCGCGGGGGCGGTGCGGCCCAGGAGCTGCTCCGGCTCCTGCGGGGAGGGTGCGCGGAGGGGCGGGGCCGGGGGCGGGGCCCGAGCGCTCTCGCCCGACCCGTCTAGCTGCATTTTCTCCCCAGGGCGCGGACCTGGCCAAAGTGGAACGCGGTCCTCGGCTCGGGGCGCTGCGCCCGCCTAGGGTCTGTTCAGGGGCGGGCGGGAGCCCTGGAACCCCTGGACGCCCAGGCTCTCCCTGCCGCCTGCGGTGTCAAGGTCCACCTGCCTGTTCATCTTCACAGTACTCAGCGGCCCACCTTCACCACCCCCCACCCCCCGCCCCAAGAAGCTTCCTTCCCCATCCCTGGAAACTTCACCCCGTGTCATTCATTATTTACTGAGTGCCTACCGTGTGTCCCTCCCAGCAGCCAACACAATTGACTGGCGCTGTCTGTCCTCATGATGTTCGCAATCTGGTCGGGACGCCTAGAATAGATGACAGGTGTGGGTGCTTTGGTAGAAGAGGAGATACCTATGGGAAAAAACAACCCGGCCCTAGTTGCTGGCCTGTGCAGGAAAAGACCTCTAACAGAGGTGATGATTAAGCAGGAGCAAGCCAGGTGTAGAGTGTTTATCACAACTGCTCATATTTATTCAGTGATTACTGTGGGCCCAGCTGGCAAGTGCTTTGCATGTATTACCTCATTTAATCCTCACAGCCACCTTCATTTAATCCTATACCCCCATTTTGCAGATGAGGACATTGACTCACCAAGAGACTAACACAGCAGAAGCCCCACCAGCTGGTAGGGGCAAAGCTATGACAGACCCCACAGTCAGCCCCTAGTGCCTTGCTTGTCCACTCTGCTATGCCCTCTAGTAGAGTAAGGAGCAAGTTACAGACCAAAAGAACCGGTATGTGCAACGATGGGCACAAGGCAAGAGAAGGTACAATATATTTTTAGGTGCTGAAAATATCCCAGTGCAAGAGGCCCTGGTAGAGGCAAAGGTAGAGAAGCAGCAGGATGCTGAGACAGAGAACCTGGTGTCCTTAGGCAAGCGGTTTGGCCCTTACCCTGAAGATAAAGTGTCTTTCAGCAGGGGAAGGCAATCTCCCTCCACTCACTCTTCAAAGCCCAGGTCAAACACTGCCTCTCCATCAAGCTCTCCAGGACCTTCTTGCCCTGAACACTTACACTCGTGAACCTCACAGCTCTTTGAGATCTTGTATTCTGTTAGCGGTGTGTGTGTGTGTGTGTGTGTGTGTGTGTGTGTGTGTGTGTGTGTGTGTGTGTGTGTGTGTGTGTGTGTGTGTGTGTGTGTTCCCCTTCCCCAGTGGTGAGCTTCTGGAGGGTGAGGGCCAGGCCTTGCCCTTTGCTAAATCCCCAGTGAGGCCCCAACATGAAAGATGCTCAAGAAATATTGCTGAATAAGATTCCAAATGCTCCTGTGAGACTCACTCCTTCTGTAGATGAGGAAACAGGCGAGAGTATCTAAGTGACTTTCCCAAAGTCACATATTCTGTCATCATCACCACCATAGCTGTGCCTGCATTCTAAGTGCTTTGTATGCATGTTCTCATCCAGGGCTCACCATGACCCAAAAGATGGAGACTGTTCTTGTCCCCACTTTGCAAATGAGGAAACTGAGGCTCAAGGACATTAGGTTAATTGGTGAATAGACTGGGACCAGACCTGTAGTGTTCTAACTACAGCCCTACGGCTTTTTTACTACCCTCCCATCCACCTACCCTTCTGAAAAGAGGTCATTCATGAGAGATCTCTTCCTATCCTACTTTCACAGAGCCCAGTATTCTCCAGAGAGTCTTGTAAAACTAAAAGCTGGGTCTGCCCTTCAATAAATAACGGTCAGCATGTGGCTGTTGAAAGCCAGCATGGGTTAGAAATATCTTCATGGTTATCTTGGTAGAAAGAAGCTAATGATTGTTGTTGTTTTGTAATTTGCCCTGAGGAGAAAGGAAATGGGCTGCCATTCAGACAGAGCCCAAATAGCCTGGCATCATCAATGTTTATTTATATTATGGCAACCACCCAAGTGACCACCCAGGATGGAGTCAGCATTTGAAAGGAAGTGTGGTCCGAGGATTCAATTTCCCTCCATCTACCCAAATCTTTTTCATATTATTAATATAATACTTTCCACACGTATTATAGTTTCATACAAAAGCGGCAGACTAAACACCAGCTTGTGAGCTCTTTGTTGTAACTGGGTCTTGTTTACCTCTCTGCCTCCCCAGTACCTAGAACAGTAACTGGCCTGTTGCAAGTGCACACTAAATGCTGAATGGATGAAGAAGTTAGAGAGCAATACTTCAACTCACTCAAGGTCAAGCCAAACAGAAACCAAGATCCTTGCCAACCCAGCTTCTAGGGTAGGCTAGGGTCTCCAAGCAGTTTGCCAGCTGAAGCAGTCAGACCCCCAGGATTATCCCAGCTACGAAAGCTCCCCACGTTGGCTTCACTAAGGGCCATTATGGGCAGATACCACAGCCCCTCCCTGCCAGCCCAACACATATGGAACTGCAAGAGAGAGGAGAGTGGGGAACCTCCAAAATGGAAGAGGAGCAAAAGGAAGGAAAGTGGGAAGACAGCCCAGGATCGAGGGATCAATGCAGAGTGGAAAAGTGGATCTAAAATGGAAGCAACATCCAAACAAAGTCACAGTCACAGGTTTCTATGAACAGTTCTGGGAGAAGATAGAAAGGAAAGATTGACTCCTTTCAAAGGGGAATCAAAGCTGAGAACTTCTGCCCTGGCCAGCAGTCCTCCACGGACTGCAGAACTGAAGGATTGGAAGGAACCAGGACATAAGAAAGATAAGCATAGGGCTCTGGGGTGGAGGGTCACCCTCTTCCCTATCGACATGGCTCCAGTCTACTCCGAGCCCACCCTGAGCTTTGGTGACCAAGGATCACTGCTTGGGGATCACGGGAACAGGAGCTATGACAGAAAGGTCTTAGCTGCCACCCTTCCCATCCACAGTACCAGTTGCACATTCCTAAGAGCTGCCCTGAATTTCCCCGTGGAAGCACAGGCCTATAGAAAATTCTAGATGTCTGTATAGACACCCTTTATTTTCTTGAAATCAATCGCTGAATTGCCCCTCCTTCTTTTGCCCTACTTTTAGAATTCTCTCTCATCTCCTCCCAGCCTCTGCTTTCGGAATCGTCGTTGCTGCTCTCTGCTGAACCCTCTCCAAACTCTCTATCGGCATCTTTAGTTGAGGGGCTTATGGTGGGACCCACTTCTCCAGCAAAGTCCTGACAAGCAGAGTCTGTCGTTATCTCTGGGCAGAAACAATCAGAAAGTGAATCTCTGGACAAGGATACAGAGTAGGTGAGCCCAAGCAAATGATGTTTTGTGTCCCCCTCACTCTTACATCTCTGAAGCTTCCCTTTTTTTCCTCTGCCATTCAGCTGTCACAACATCCCAGAGTCCTGGCATAGTCTCCTGTTCTGAATGCTAAACAGAGGCTAAACTTTCACAATAAAAGAAGGACACATTTCCAACCCAAGGATAAGGGTATTGAATTCTGGAGCCCCTTTGGATAAAGTAGGACAAGAAACACCTCATATTCACGGGGTGTCAGAGAAGCAGAGAGCAGGCCCTAGAGATAAGGAAAGCAGACTGAGAGGAACCCAATACCCTGGCCAAGTCACCCAGATACACAGCATTTATCAACCTGTCTAGACATGGGGCTGGCACCTGCTGGTGGCCCACTCAGGGGAATACAAGTTTATTGAAAATAATCCTATACTTGCCAGTTAACCCGTGAACAAACGAACCACTGGCAGAGCAACAATAACCCAACTCATTGAACAAATATGGACCAAGGGCTTACTGTGTGCCAGGCACTGGGGACACAGAGATGAGTAAGACAGCCCCCATTTTCTAGCAGCGTATTCTCAATTTGGGAAGAGAGACAGATACTTAGTAGCGTAAAATGATATCTACCATATCTACAACACTCACGGCATTTAAAAGTGTCGAAATACATCAACGCATTTAATCTTCCCAGCATCTCAGGGAGGAAGGTGCCATTATGTCTCCTGCTTTGCAGATGAGGAAATCATACCGCAGGGACATGAAGTGACTTATCCATGGTACCAACGCTAGTAAGTGGTAGAGCTAAGCTTCAGCCCAGGCAACATGACTCCAGAGTCCTTGCGTTTGACAGTTCACCTCCTCTACAGAGGTAGAAGCAGACGTGAAGCACTGTGGGCAGAGGAGAAGGGGGTCCAAGCTGCTGCAGCAAAGAGCAGAAAGGCTTCCCAGGGAAGGCAGCACAGGGGCTGGCCCTGAAGAATGAGAAGGAAAAGTCAGGACACTGGGGCTGAGGGGCCAGAGAGTCTGGGAGATACATGTTAGCCAGTTCAGCTTGAATTTCGGAGCAGAAGGGATTGGCTACTAGAGGTTAGATTGCAAAGGGCCTTGAATACAGCTGAGAATCAATCTGTGGGTGATGGGGAGCCACTGAAGGTTTGAAAGCAGGGCAGTGATGTATTCAGGCAGCAGAGAGAACAGTCTGGATGGAAGGCAGAGACTCCAGAGCAAGTATTTTGGTGCCTACTGATATGGTATTGACACGAGATAAAGAGGAACTGTGCTAGGGTAGTCAGCAGTGGTGGAAAGGAAAGGAGGTAACAAATTCAAATGACAGAAATTTAACAGAACTTAGAGACGAACCAGAGCTGGAGCATTTTTGTGAACTGTAGGTCACCCTAGTGAGTAGTCAACCAATCAATACCTGTACGGATGCTGAGGGAGAGGGAGTCAGTGGGGCTTTGCTGTACATTAAACAGAAGGCGTCGTTCTGGCTTTTCCAAGTAGTTAAATGGGCTTGTGGTAGAAAAGTTGCAGGTGCAAAGGCGGAAATCTTACGTATTTATTCTTTCAGGAAGACAGCCTACTGACTGTCTTTAAGAGGA